TGGTTTCTAATTTTCACATTTTCCTCATTACTGGATTCCTTCCCTGTTTTTCTTGAATCCATCCTATTATATTTTCCTGAGTGGATGTGTGCTGCTCAATATTATACATTTACAAAATAAATAAACTAGAATCATACTAGATGACTTAGAGAATTTTTTGCAAGGTATCAATGTATAAGGCAAATTTCATGCAAAAAACAGTCTATAATACAGAGAAATAAAATGATATGATATTACAATATAATATGATGAAAAAAACTCTGCAAAATGTGCGGAAGTTATAGATATAGGTAGATGGAATTATATGCTTATAGAGAATTTGGGGAAGAATACATGCAAGGTTATTAAGATGGATTATGCAGGAGGAGTGGGAACAGTGATGTAGATGGAAAGGAAGGAGCAATGTGGTTGGAAATAAGCAAAACATAAAAAGTAAAATACGGTCATGCATGGCATAACATTTCGGTCAACGACCCACCACATATACAATGGTGGTCCCAAAAGATTAGTACTATATAGCTTAGGTGTGTAGTAGGCTATACCATCTATGATGTTCACATAACAATGAAATCGCCTAATGACACAATTCTCAGAACAGATCCCCATCATTAAGCAACAACACATGACTGTAGTGGTTGCATAAAAATTTAAGAGCATGTATAAAATGCATTTTTAAAACTTCATATATACGTATTAGTATATACATGAAGGAAATAGAGAAAATTTTAGGGAAAACACCTAAAATGGATGTTTGTAAGGTAAAATTTCTCAGCCCTACGTGTCTGAAGTTGTCCTGATTCCCTCTGAGTTTTGAAGGGCTGACTCTAGAGTCACTGTTACTCATGAGATGACTCAAGCTATTCTCGCCGTCATTCCTCCATGGGTGACTGGTTTCTTGATTCTTTCTGGAAGCTTTTAAGTTCTTCCCTTTGATTTTTAGGTGTTTTAATTTTATAAGGATGTGCTCGTGTTTGGTTCTTTTAAAATTCATTCGTCTAAGTACCCAGTTGTGTTGAAAAATTTCTTGTCCTTCTACTCCATAGTATCTCCTTAAATAATTCTCTTCATGTGTTCCTCCTGTGCCTTTTTCTCGCAGGGCTTTCTTGACTCCAACTAGGTGGCTATTAGACCACCCAAATTAATCTTTACCCTCTTATATTTTCTCTCAAATTTACTCATTTTCCCCCCTTTTAATCTCTTAATTTTCCAGGAAATTTCCTCAATTTTATTTTACAACCATTTTAGTCAATTTTAGTCAATTTCCAAAAATCAGTTTTAAAAAGTATCTAAGACCACTATCTCTTTCTTTGATAACTTCTTTCTCTTTGTTTCCTGGGGTGCAATATGTAATCTCAGATTTCTCTAAAAATATTAGAGGTTTTGGAAGTTTCTCCTGTTTCCTACAATATCTCTGTTTTTTCTGGGGTAGCTTTTTCCTCTTTTTCATTTTATTCTTTCTATATGCTATTGGAGAATTTCCTCAAAAGTCTGCTGACCTGTGGTTATCTGTTCCTACTTAAGAGGAGGCTCTGGAAATCAATCAATGTGATTCATCAAATTAAAGAATAAAGAAGGAAAACCATATAAATATCTCAGTAGATGCACTTGGTAATATTCCACATCTGTCCATGGTAAAACTCTCTGCAAACTAGGAATAGACAGGTACTTCCTCAGTCTCACTTAAAATACCCACATACACACACACACACACACAAATGTACAGCAAACATCCTACTTAATGGTGATACTGAATGCTTTCTCTCTAAGATAGGAAACAAGCAAGAAAGTCTACTCTCACCACTTCTCCTCAACATTGTATTTAAACTCCTAAAAGTGCAATAAGAAAGAAAAAGAGATAATTGTTGGAAACGAAGAAGTAAAAGAGTTTTATTTGCTGATGACATAATTATTTATGTCTATAAGTCCAAAGGAAATCTACAAATACATTACTAGAATACATGAATTTAGCAAAGTTATAAATACATGGTTAACATTTTTGAAAAACAATTCTATTTTCATACAATAGTAACAAGCAATTTAAAAAGCAATACCGTTTAAAGTAGCACCAAAAAGAATAAAATAACTAGAAATAAGTGTAATGAAAGATGTGCATGACTTCTGTAGTAAAAACTATAAACACTTTTAGGCAAACGTAGGGAAAACTAAATAAATGCAGAGCTATATAATGTTAACAGATTGGAGTTCAGTATTGTTAAGATGTCAATTCTCACCACATTTATCCATTGGTTCAATGCAAACCCAATAAATATCCAAAAGGCTTTTCTTGTGGAAATCAACAAATTTATTTTAAATATATGTGGAAAACCAAAGGACCTAGAAAAGCCAAAACAATCTTTCTCTAATTGACTTCAAGACTTTCTACAAGCTATAGTATTCAAGCCAATGTGCTATTGGCATAAGGATAGACAAATAGATCAATGATATAGAATAGAAAATCCAGAAGCAGACCCATGTTTATATTGTTAATTGCTTTTTGAATATTTTCATTACCTTGGGGTAGGCAAAGATTTCTTAGATAGTACAGTCAAGTTATTAAATTCAAAAGAAAAAAATTGATATATTTGGCTTCATCAATATTAAAAATTTCTCCTCATCAAGAGACATGATTAAGAAAATGAAAGGCAGGAGCTGGCCCAGTGGCGCAGTGGTTAAGTGCACGCACTCCATTGTGGCGGCCCGGGGTTTGCGGGTTCGCATCCCGGGCATGCACCAACGCACCGCTTATCAAGCGATGCTGTGGCAGCGTCCCATATAAAGTAGAGGAAGATGGGCACAGATGTTAGCCCAGGGCCAATCTTCCTCAGCAAAAAAGAGGAGGATTGGCATTGAATGTTAGCTCAGGGGTGAACTTCCTCATTAAAAAAAAAAAAAAAAAGAAAGAAAGAAAATGAAAGGCAAACCACAGGCTGGGAGAAAATGTTCACAATACATAAATCAAACAAAACTCTTCTTTCCTAGTATATAACAAACTCCTACACATCAGTTAGTAAAAGACAACCCAATAATATAAATGGGCCAAGACTTGAACAGATACTTCAGGAAAGAAGATATATGAATAGCCAATAAGCATATGAAAATATACTCAACATCATTACTTGTTAAAGAAATACAAATTAAAACTATAGGAGATACCACATCACAAACTAGAATGGTTAAGTTAGAAAGGCTATTTATAAAAGACTTTGAAAACTGTTTGGCAGGTTCTAAAATGGATAAACATACTTTTACACAATGACGCAGCAATTCCACTGCTAGTTATTTACCCAAGAGAAATGAAAACATCACGCCACAAAAAGACTTGGACAAGAAGAGCAGCTTTATTCATACTAGTCCCAAACTGGAGTCAACCCAAATGTCCATCAGTAAGAAAATGAATAAACAGATTATGGTAGATCCACAACAATGGAATATCACTCAATAATAAAAGGAAACAAACTTCTATTTATCCGACAACACAGATGATGAACAAAGAAGTCAGACACAAAAGCATATATGACGTATTATTCCATATATAAAATTCAGTAACAGGCAAAATTAACATCTGGTGATAGGAAGGACAGCAACGTCTACCTTTGAGAGGCTGCCTGGCTCCGGGTGCGTTGAGAGGTAGAGGGTGCACTGTTCTCTTTTCATTTTTCAAATAACATGCCAGTTTTCAGCACCATGCCTCCCTCACAATCTCCGCTGCCTCTTCAGGGTTCTGCAGGGCACACTGGCTGCTTCCTGACTGCTGGGAGCAACCTCCGCCTACAATAGCAATTAGTGCTCCTCTGACCAGTTTTTGTCTTATAGACTTTGGTTGAAACCTCTCATTTGCTCACTGTCCTCTGCCATTCTCTTTGTCTTTGTGACCCCAGTTCCTTTATTTTTATTTTTGTGGGGTTTTTAATAAAAGAGAAGACAAACGTTTCTTTTCAATCTGCAATCTTTAACCAGAAACATTTTTTTCAGGAATTTGACACAATAGTGTGACTTTATTATTCCCTGATGCATGTTGGGTACCAATAATATTGGAAGTGCCAATAATCCTCTTCTGGTTTCACAAACAGAGCTTATGAGTCTTCACAATATTTAGGTATACAAGATGTTGATTAAAACATTATTATCAGAGCAATAAAATGATCAACTAAGAACCAGAATTACAGAGTCAGGTTTAAAATTACTTTTACAGGAAAAAGCAGCAATTTCTGAAATTCAGATGCCTAAAAAGATTTACTATACATGATAATAGCACAGACAGATTTATATTAACACAAAGCAGAAGTCCCAGGAGAAATAATTGATATTTCTGGGAAATTCTCAATTTATACTTTATCATATCACTGTCAAATTGCATCTTATCATTTATGAACTAATTTTATAATACAGGATGGTATTTCTCTTAACGTCTATAGGTCATAGAGGTTTCTATCTTTCTGAGACTTATGTTCTCTTAGTTGTTAATTAAGATGCATTTTCAAGGTTAGATTCTATTTTTATTCCATTGTTTTTTATTGCTGTGTGGATAACCTGTTTACTCCATCTCAATTTTGTACAAATTAGAAAAATTTTAATTAACAAAATATTCCAAATATATTTAAGAGAAGATATCTTTACAATGGCTTTGATTGGGACAGACAACTTTTTCAGTCCTATGTATAAGTCTTTCTTAACCCGCATGCTTCCTTCTGTTATGTCTTTGTTTATTGCTTCAATTCCATTTATTCTGGTCTCTACTCAGGACCACTTATTTTATATATGGTGGTTCTTCACAGCCTAGCCTTCATATATAAAATCCTATGGCCTCGGCCCGGGTTCAGATCCTGGGCACGCACCGACGCACTGCTTGTCAGGCCATGCTGTGGCGGCATCCCATATAAAGTGGAGGAAGATGGGCATGCATGTTAGCCCAGGGCCAGTCTTCCACAGCAAAAAAAGAGGAGGATAGGCATGGATGTTAGCTCAGGGCTGATCTTCCTCACACACACAAAGAAAAAATCCTATGGCCTCCACAAGCATGTGGAAATCTTAATGACCAATTTCACATGGTGTCTTTTTCTCCGTAGAATGTCCACAGAAGACCAGAACATAGAAGAGAGGCTTGTCTATGAGGCTGTATTCAGGCACTTCAAAAGATATAAGGTGGAAATTTCAAATGCAATAAAAAAAACGTATCCTTTCCTTGAGGGACTCCGTGACCGTGAACTCATCACCAACAAAATGTATGAAGTGAGTAAGGTTTATTATGTCACAATCCGGTAAACCAGCCCCAAACTAAGTTATGCTTTGATATCCTGGACCCAAACATCAGGGCTAGCTGACTGAAGAGTTTCCTATGAGTGGGGGAACTTTTCAAGTATTGCTGTAAGTATTCCTGTACATAAAAAGGAAGAAGAGAAGCAGACATCACCAGAGACAGTCCTGCTTCTAACTGAAGGAAGGGTGCTCCATGGTGCCCATTAGAGTTGGGGTGAATAGCACTGGAGACAGGCTGGATCTGAAGCAGGTGTGCGCCATAGATGTATACTGCTTTGCAGGAATGCATGTAATATAACATAAGCTAAGAATTAAAAATAATTTTAGTAAATGAATGAATAACTTAAATGAATTGATTTAATGAAATACTAATTGACATAATATTTCATTTCAGTGAATATCAATTTAAATACTTAGATCTGAGAACTTTAAAACCCACAGAGAATTGATGTCCTGTTAGGACAGAGACAGAGAGTAGATGCTTGCTATACTTTCTCCAACCATTTTCAGTTTTCTTTTCTTTTCTTTTCTTTTTTTTAATGGTATTTCTGGAGTCTGGGAATTTGGGTTAATTTTAGCAACAGGCGTTGTTAGAGATACAGAGATGCAAGTCTTCCTTTGCCCTATGAATATGCTTTCTCTACAGTCAAGTTCACAAAGGGGAGAACTGTCACATGGCTTCCTTGAGTTCTGCCAGGCCAAGTCAGTTCAGGAGTTGTCCAGTCAACAGAACTTCTGCTCATCACTTGCTAAGTCTATTCCGAAAACATTTGACCAGGTTCTTAAAGGGCCACCCAACATTTAGCTTTGAACCCACTTTTCTTCTTCAAAATTGTTCCTTCTTACATATAATGTAAATAAGGGTGAGGAGATCAGATTCACAAATGGATATTTTTAAGGAGGAAGGATTTACTTGTTTCACTTAGTAACCATACAGATATATAGAAATCCTAAAACATTCCATGAGACGATACCTATGTAGAGAAATTGGAATACGTTACCCATAAAATCACTTTCAAGGGCTCTTCTGTAACTTGGAAGTCTGTATTTATATTTTCTCCATTCAATATTTTTTCAAGGATTCTCAAGATTCTTGTAGAAACCTGGTCCCTGTAGAAAGAGTGGTGTACAATGTGCTCTGTGAACTGGAGAAGACTTTTGACCTGCCACTTCTGGAAGCATTGTTCAGCGAGGTCAACATGCAGGAATACCCCGATTTACATTACATTTATAAAAGCTTCGAAAATGGTAATTAGGTTTATTACTGACCTTTTGATGTCCGGGCCAATTTTTTCTTTGATAAATATATTTTGTGCTCCTCCCATGTGCCACACATGGTACTGGTCAGTGGGGACATAGCAGTTTACAAAACACACATATCATGAGCCTTCTTGAAGCTTATGTTATAGGGGCTATGGCACAACACCCAGCTAGAGATCTGCTTAACTAGGCGTTTAGACTCACAGGACAGCCAGAACCACAAGCATCAGATTTACTTAGAAGGACAAGTGACAGGAAACACAGCATCCCAATAGGGCAGCATCAGTTGCTCCTCCTCTGTGGGACCCCTTGCAGTGGTCCACGCAGCAGTCTACCCAGTTGACTACTCCCTGCCTCAAGGGACAGCTTAGTGGTGAATGCAGGATCCACACTGATCTAGCACACCATGCCCATGGGAGTCAATATGTCATGTAACAACCCATAGTCATAACATCCAGGGACCCCACGCAGGACAAGCTGAGTGACAAGAGTCATCACATTGAAGGAAGACCAAAGTATGGCTTTTGGTCCATAGCGAGACCCCCCTTCCCCATCCACATGCAATCTACCATTCACGGGTCATTTTTAACCCTAAACCCAGTGTTGGCCTAGTAACTCAGAAGAAAGGCCACCTTCTTCAGGTTGCTAGAGTAACAAAGTTAACCCAACATCAAATTTGCCCTTAAAGGAGAAGTAGTTTTATTAACTCTTTCTCCACAAGGAGTGAAACAAACATTACTCAAATAATCATAGGACCTATTGCTCTGCCAAGGACTATTTTTGATGCTATACAAAACTAAAGGTTTGATTCTTGACGTTTTCCTGAGAAGGCATGATTTATACTTTTTTAATGGAGCACAGTTAAGGGAATGCTCTACTATATATGTATAGACTTGTCTAGAAAACATTTTGTTCCAACACAGTTTGGTCTCAATAGAGTTGTCCAAATAAGAGACAGACATCTCAAAAAAAATGGTCACATGTCCTGAGGAGGGTGGATGTTATGGGATCAGGCATGGATTGTGAAAGAGTCTAATGTGTCTTCAAAACAAAGACAAATTCCAATTGGCTCAGAGAGTGAGAAGAAGACTGTGGGAGCTGATTCAAGAGTGGTAAGTTTGAAGAAATTTTGGAAAGTCTAGCATATAAAGCTAAGCAATTTGAAGTTTATTACTAGGCAATAAAGAGATACTAACAGGTTTATAAGCAAGGAAAAAAATTTAAAAATAAGTGTAAAGCATGTAGCTTGTTGATTTGTGTCAATAGTAACATTATCTAATTAAGAACAAAATAATTTCTACAGCAGGTCATTCAACTCAGAAAAGGTATAAAGAAAGGCAAATACCTAGTCACAAATTTCAAGTCAATATTATGTTTGTAACCGAGATGTCCCCAGGCCATGGGCACGAAGGGAATGGCTGTTACCTTTACTGCCCACATCCCAGGAGCTCTGATCCTCTCCATGAACTGCCGGGACCCCACTCCCTGGGCCCAGTGTCCACATCACACATGTTAGTTTCTGGGTTCCCCATGCTGGGGTGTCTCGCACCTACACTTGCTGCCCCCCACTTGCCCCTGGTGGAGGTCGCAGTGGCTGCCCCGGGACCCTGTTGTCCACAAGAGCTGTGAGTCAAGAGCCCAAAGCCAGGAAGTTGGGGACTGTGGTCCAGGGCATGACAGCTTGTCCTGCTGACCGGTCCGCACCTTCATTCCGTGCACAGAAGCCCTCCACCCCTACCCTAAGCCCGACCCCTCATTGGAACACCTGCTCACAAGACTCCTTCACCTTTTCTGGACTTTGGGCCCTTCGTTCTTCTCATATCTTCCACCTCATTTTGCCAGGATTTGAAACTGTGTCCTGTGATGACAAAGCGTCTGTGGTCCCCGCAGTGCTCTCCATCTCACCTCCCCAGCCTCACAGGCATTGTCCCAGGAGGAGATCCTGCCATCAGCCCTGGGGCAGCGCAGGCCCCACCACTTCTCGTGGTGTCTCCTCCTCCCTGGACTCCTTGCAGAGACGCACTTCCTGTGCTTCTATGGTTTATTTCCTCCTCCTGTGTTTGCTGGGTCACCTACATGCAGGAGCCCTGGGCTCGTGTCCTGGGCCCCCTTGTTGGCAGCCTCCTCTAGTCCACCCGTCTAGCGGACGTCATCCAGCGTGGCAATATGCCCTCCCTGCTTGTAGCTTCAGAGAGTGTCTTTCCTTTGTTCCTGGGATCTGGGCCACCCCGGGAGCTCTGTCTAGTTCCTCTCTGTGTCTTCCAGCTTGTCACTTTGAGAACTGCTCATCCTCCCCGACCCAGTTAAGCCAAACCCTCCTCTTCTCTAGCTGCATCTTTCAAGCTGTTGGGCTTTCTCTTTTATACACACGGATCTCTCTAGGATCTTAGCTCTTCTCTTGAGAAAATCCCTCTGTTTCTTCCATACCTTTGAACAGTTCAGAAAACACATTTCACCTCTACTATTTATTTTGGTATATGTTTCCTGGCCATCTGAAGTTTTTTTTTACATGAGCAACAGGCTCATGATGTTCCAGTACTCCTTTGCCTTTCACGTTTGAGTGGCTCCTTTCCATGTGGGAAACATAGAGGCTACCTTCTTGGGGCTTCTCTTTTCTGTCCCAGGGAAGATGGGGGAACTTTACCTTGAGGATCAGACCCACTGAGCTCTGAGTGACCCGAGGGTTGGAAATTCCTAACTGTAATTTTGAGGTGTTGTCTCTGGTTTCTGAGGGAGATCTCTAATGGCCTTCTTCTCTCCTGCCTTCTCTTCAGCAGTCCAAGAGAAACTTTTCCTCCATGAAAGTGAGGGAGACGAGAGGGAGCAGAGGCTTAATATCCAACTAAGCCTTGAACAAGGTGATTGAAACCTAATACACACCGATTCTCATCTGCTACAAGGAAAGGGAGAAAGGGAGATGGGGGTCTGCACCCTGAGTGGAGATTGTGAATCAGGGAGAAGTTGAAGGAGCATGGAGAAGGCAGGAGGGTGTTTGCCTGGGCGTCTAACCCGAGGCCGAATCCTGGAGGAGTAGCTCTGATAAGAGACTGTTGGTCCAATGACCAAGACAAAGGAAGAGGAATCCAGTTTGTCAGTAAACCAGTTTTAAAGAGAATGACTACCTGGAAGTAATTGTGATTTAGAGAGGCCCCTGTAGGAGAAGATCAGTGTAAAGCTGTGAGAGGCTAGAACTATGGTCACAAGGTCAACATCAAAGAGGAAACTCTTGATGATGGTGGAAGAAGGGACCGATTTAAATGTGGGGGGTGTTGTTCAAGAGCAGGAATATTCAAGGAGAAAGGCACTGATACAGAGAGAAGAGAGGAAATGGTCGAGATTTGGAGAAGCGGATACGGGCACTTTGAGAGAGAGAGGAGGAGGAAGGAGGGGAAATGACAGAGGAGAAAGGGGTAAAGGCCACAATAAAAACAACCATACTGTTCACATCTCATTGACTGAACATTTACTCTGTCAGTTGTGGGTTTTAGTGCTCACAACTGTCATTAGAGGGTAGTATTATTTATGTGCCCATTTTGCAGATAAGGAAACTGAAATCTAGAGACCATATATGTAGTTGGCCTCAGGTCAAATGAGCAAGGATGGACCTGGGAATTCTGAACCCAGAGTCTGTGTTCTTAACCCTGTACACTACCCAGATAATCTAACAGAAAAGACAGAGGCATGAAACAAAAATAAGGAAATATATGCAGAGAGAAAGACACAGAAAAAAGAATATCAGGTGCAGGAGGAAGTAGAGGAGAATCAGACACTGAATCTTCATTGAAAGTCAACAAGACAGAGAGAACAGATGTGTAGAAGGAGGGTGTGGTGTGAAAGGGGGTGGGGACAAGGCACCAGGATTTTGTAGGAAGTAAGGTAAGGCCACCAGTCAGGGGCAGCTCTGGGGACAAAGGTAGGTTCACTATGGCCGTGGGCAACAAGAAAAGCATCAGTAGTTACCTGAGGGGCTCATGGAGGACACACTGAGGTGGCCTGGGCAAGCCCTCTCCACCAGGGGTGCAGCTGACCCCAGTCCCGCACTCTGGGGGATGGAGTCTGACTGTAGGAGTGGGGTGGGATCCGCCAGGTCAGATGGGCTCTCTATTGATCGTATTGACCCCCGGAGGGAGTCTTCAACTCCCTTTATAAAAAAGATATTTTATTAAAAAGGGATTAAGGGAGAATGCACAGCCCATATTTCAATTCCTGAAATAAACTTCCAATTTCTTCCCCCTAGGAACAGGTGAAAACTCACATCGAAGCCCATCCTGCTCATGTGCAGAAGCCTCGTCTTATGATGGTCTGTTCCTGTTGACTGTTCTGTGAACCTGTGCTGTTTTTGTCCCATTCTGGAATGTGCTGTGGTGGGGCCTGCTTTTTTGTATCACTGATCGCCCAGAATTGTCAGTCTTTGCCTCTGCAATTTCTCCAAGGATTTAGATAATAGTCTTCGTACTCTGGGTTGCCTAGGAGGGTCACTCCTTCCATACTCCTCAGATGCATTTGCTGCCAGCTCCTGATGGCTGTGGGCCTGGACATTTTGCCCATGCACCTGGCTTCACAGTGTTCTGCCTCTGTCTTGCTTGAATCTGATTGCTGCCTCGGTGCTTTGAGGTCACATCCAGAGGTGGCCGTCGCTGCAGCGAGAGTGATGGGGGATGGGGAGATAAGCGTTCCTCATATGGGCAGGGTACCTCCCACATTGGGTCCCTCACACAGGACCATGGACACCATGTGCCCCCTGTGCAAACCCTCTCCCATCATCCCTTGGGCAGCAGGCCAGGAGCTGCCCTCCAAACACCAGATGGGTCTCTAAAAAAATGCTTTGATACTTTAGCAACAAATAACCACTGTTTACAACTCTTGACTTCCCTTAATCCATAACACTCTTAAAAATGTTATTAAATATTATAAATTTAAGACATTAATCATAATGATTTAATTTTCTGATCAGTCACAGTATCCCATATAGTGATGCAGATAATATTTTATTTAATCTTCTCAAACACCTTAAAATGATGGCATACCATGCCCATTTTTCAGAGGAGAAAGAATAGCTTAGAGAGTTTGGTTATTGGTGCAAGTTCACTCAACTGAGAATTGGATTGAACTCTGCTGTAAGATAGTGTCAGAGCAGAGTCTAGATGCCCACGACCTGGCTTCTAATTCTCCCTGTAATCTTAGGAAAGTTACTTCCCCTCTTTACTATATCTACAGTTTCATCATCTATAAAATGGATGAGATAGTAATACCTACTTTACAGCGTGATGGACTTTAAATAGTCATGTAAAGCATGCACAATCATGCCTGGTACTTTGTCAGTGTTCCATGCATTTGTTATTATTACTATTATTATCATCATTATTTGTATCTAGCACCAGAGTCTAAACTTTTAACCATTACAGTAAACTTTGAGTTGCCTTCTCTCACAGATGTCCATTGTGGATTTAATTATTCCCCAGACTGTAGAAGCAGTGATAAAAGTAATACCAACCTCTGGCCAATCAAGATCAATTGAAGGTCATTGGTGACCTGTCCTTAGAGCACATGAGTCTATAATAAATTTTATGTCTTTATTCCATGACTGTCCTCTGGAAATGAGTAGCCTTGTAGAGTCTTAGAGAACTTCCAGCACTGTGGAAGACCCTTATTATGTAGCCTCCAGTTAGGATGTGTTGTTTAAGAAAGGGTATTCTAATTAATAACACATTTTTATAAAAGAAAAAAATCAGAGTGATTTTTGAAAGCATAGTTATACTTTAGCAAATTACGTTTATTCAGAAAGTTATTTAAAAATATAACAAACAACATGCATGAATCCAAATTCTTAGCCATTCATCTACTAGTGCAGCTGGTGGGAAGAGGAAAAGGTGAGTAGATGGAATTGTGACTAGTAATGAGCAGAAGAGAAGGGATTCTGTGTGTGTGTGTGTGTGTGTGTAGGGCATGAGGGGAGGAAGTAATGAAATTATAATTCACAATGTGGTCTGAGGGCAACTCTGCCTGGAAATGAAATCCCAGATCATCTCAGTGATGGGGAGCAATGAAAATAAAGAGAGGGGGGGCCGGCCCCGTGGCTTAGCGTTTAAGTGTGTGCGCTCCTCTGCTGGCGACCCAGGTTCGGATCCCCGGCGCGCACCGACGCACCGCTTCTCCGGCCTTGCTGAGGCCGCGTCCCACATACAGCAACCAGAAGGATGTGCAACTATGACATACAACTATCTACTGGGGCTTTGGGGGAAAAAAATAAATAAATAAAAAATTTAAAAAAAGAAAAGAAAGAGAGAAATTTCAACCTACAACCCAAATGATGTGCAAATAAGCCACCAATAAGTGTGTCTAAAAGTCTGACCCAGCAGAGATGGCTGGCTGTGACACACACAGGTGAGGGAAGAGCTGTGTCTCATGTCCACTACCCCAGTGGGAGGCTCCAAGGAGCTGTGGATGTGGCACAAAACATGCACCAGGGCCCATGTTCTATATTAAAACTTAGGGAATTATTTTTGTCATAATTTACATAAATTACTTTGTTTGGAAAAATAGCGCCAATGGAAATAATCTAGACTGCTCCAAAAAATATATTTGTCCATTCATACTCTATGGAGGTTGGTGGGAGCAAAGTGGGATGGGATGATGGAATCCACAAAAAGCAGAGGAGGTTCACCATAGGGGAAAGGGGATGTGTTGGTTCTGGGGTGTTTGCCAGGAATTCATTCCTTACCCTCCCCTGCTCCACTCTGCCCTCTATCTCTGGCCATTGGCCCCTGCAGCCTTGCTGGCCGGCTCCCTCGCTGCTGGCTTCCTGCTGGGTTCCTGACATGGGAGACAGTAGCAAGGGATTGGAGAGGGGAGCAAGGGAGAAGCCAAGTATTGCCCTGTCACTGACTCCAGCAGCAATTCTGGCAGTGGCTGCATCTCACCCATGACTCCACCTCCCATCAAGCAGGCCAGCTATGGTCCAACTTCTACTCACCCAGTGACCCTGGCCCCTGCGCTCACCCTCAGTCCTTCGCATAGCTTCCTGTTGACAATCCTTCTGGTTGCTGCATTCTTCCGTTGGGACTTCTCAGCTCTCCCATCAACTGTGTAACCAATCCCCTGAATTAAATTCCCTCTGCTTTAAAAGCTTAGAGTAATTTGTATTTTCTTGTTGGACTCTGATTGATGTAGGGGGCAATTAAAATATCTATGAATCAAAACGTGGTTTAGGTACAATCCCACCTGAAAATGGACTCTCAGAGCACCTCCGTGAAACAGAACAGATAAATGCAAAGAGAAAAGACACAACCAGTGACAAAAATGATGCACTAGAAAGCCAACAAGCAAATGAGCAATGTGCCCAGGAGTCTGAGCCAGCAGGTAAGACTGACTGACTGGGTTTGCATGAGTGTGGAGGGGCCAAGGAGTCCTTGCTAGTGACAGAGAATGGAGTAATGTGTGACTCAAGGAGGCATCTATTAACAAAGAAGGGGAAAATCACATAGACACATAGAGGGCAGGAATGGAGCCTGATATATTGACGGGAGAGACCTGACAGAAGAAATTTAGAAAAGAAAAACTAAGAGACAAAGGGTAAAGAGTTGCAGTGACTCATTGGGGAAGAGAGACAGAAAGAAAGTTCCAAAGAAATCACGGAGAGATTGGCTGGAGAATCAATGAAGCACCAACACTTCCATGGGGTCAAGGTGGCAATATCTGCAGACAAGCTATAAGTAGAAATATAAGAAGGGAAGAGAAGTCGGGTGAGGTGTAACAAAAGGGAAGTAGGGCGGAGCAAGACTTTGTCGGATCTCAGCCATGGTCTTTTTTATCTTCAGAGTCCTGCGAACAAGCACCTATCCAAGTGAATAATGGAGATGCAAGAAAGGAGACGCCCAGCCCATTGCCATGTGATGAAGAACGTAATTATTACTTATCTTACCAATTTTTAAATTATATCTTTGTTTTTCTATGACAGCAAAAGCTTTCCTTTGTTCTCCCATACTAACCGCCTCTCCCCCACCCCAGCCCTAACACCTCCCAAGACCCATAACCTTATGCACAGCCTCTGGCTGCTTTGAACAGGTGTGAAATGCAAAGGAGAAAGAGAGCTGAGCTCTTTAATGGAGGTGCTGTCCCTGGGGAGAGAATGTAAGGAGAGAGAATATGGGAAAGGTAGACTGGGGACACCAAATAACAAAGTACACGAGTGAGATAGGTTTCAGATAAGTTGACATGGAATCCAAACAGTGCCATGTTGTAGAGTTGGGGAAAAGAAATAAGTTGCAACTTGCTTTTCAGAATTTATAACAGAAACGTGGAAATCATGCATGATGCTGCTGGTCAGATTTGCAAGTAAGGAAGCCCAGGTGAAGGACCTTTAGAAAGGAAGTGGCAGGTGGAGGGACTCGGTGTGGTGGACAATGGCACAGGGGCAGAACTTTGGTGATGATGGGAATGCTTGAGATGAGGAAAATGTATATAAGATAAAAATTGATACAGAAGAGGCATACTGAAAGTCACAGTAACAATTAAGAAACAGAGAATAGGAGAAAGTAGGAAAAGTAACAGAGAATGGATAAAGCAAAAAGTCAGGCAGAGGACAGCAGGGCCAGGTGTAGGGTGAGACAAGGAGGCCCGAGGGCACATGTAAGGAGCATCTAACTCTCGGCACCTTCTTGTGCCCTAGACCTTGCTGGGCACTACGGGGGCAGTGATAAAAAATGTAGAGAAAAAGAGTGTGACTAGAGAAAGATACAGAGGGAAATGAATATCAATAAATAGAAAAAAATGGGGGGAGCCACAGGAGAGCTATGTAGAGAATGAGATAAAAGACAATGAATGAAAAATCAGTAGAGAGTGGACCAAGTAAAGAGAGAGAGAAGACAAATCAGGATATTGTTCAATTCGAGGAGACAGTCCCAGGAAAGAAGGCACAAGGGGCTGTTCCTACTATGATTGAGAAGGGTAAGGTGTCTGCAATGATCAAAATGGCTGTGTAACCCCCTCACATAAAAATAGGTCTCTCCCCAGGCGTCTTGTCTTCTCCATGGCTTCAGTCACCATCTGTGATCTATTGATTCCTAAACACACATCTCCAGCCCAGACTTGTCCTCTAGACTCATTCCTCCAAGTGCCTGAAAACCTTTATTCAAAGATCTGAAAGACATCTCTATTCAGAGGTTGTGTCAGTTATCTGCTGCTGTGTAACAAACAGTCCCAAAATTTAGTGGATTAAAACAACCATGATTTCATTTGCCACTTCCATCAATTCCAACTTTAAAATATCTCCAACCTGTCCACTTCTCTTCATCCCCAGCATGCTCACTCTAATCCAGATCTCTATCACTTCTCACTTCAAATAGAGGAGAGGTCTCCTGCTGGCCTCCTCCCTCATATCTTGCTCCTGGTTGGAGTATTGAAGGACACCTACCATGCAGTTACATATTCCACCATCACTTGCCTCTCACTCCCTCACGCCACATTCCCATCACACCAAACTCCTTTTAGTTACTTGAATTTGCCAAGTTCTCTCAATTATATCTCTGCCTTTACATATGCTTTTACAAAACAGTTTGGTATAATCTTCCAAAGTGAGAAATTACATATAGCGTGTGACTCATTAGTTACGTTACTCAGCAGAAACCGACAGAAATGCGTCCTGTGTTCAAAAAAACACATAGGAAGGCAGCATTATTCATAATAGCCAAAATCTTGAAACAGCACAAATAGATTTTTTATGGTTTAGTTTTTTAATGGTTCATTTCTACAATGAAATACTATACAGCAGTGAAAATAAATATACAAAATGAATACAAATAACTCTCATAAACATATGTTGAGAAAGGAAACCAAATTACCCCCAAATGACAAAGAGACAGAGAGAGAGTAAATAAGAGAAGGGGACATGATTCTACTTATACAAATTGATATACATTTCAGAACAAGCAAAATTAATCACCAATAGTGTCAAAAACCAAGATGGTGGTTAGCTTGAGCCAGGTGGTGGGGAAAGTTAGTGGGAAGTGTCACTAAGAGGCTTCAGGGATGTTAGTAATCTTGACCAAGTGACGATTACCCAGATATGCTTCCTTTGTGATAATTCAAAATTTATGATTTACCCGTTTTTATCTATGTATGTTATACTGCAAATAAAACTTTTATTTTTAAAAAAGCAAAAATTTATTCATCAAAGGATGAGAAGAGAAAGTAAAAACAAACAAAAAACCCAGAATTAAGAGAGGCACAAAGGAAGGGACAGAATTGAGCAGCAGGAAAAGAGAGGGGAGGGAGGGTTAGCTTTACCCACTGCAGTGGAATTACAGGGAAAAGGACTTACTAATGGTCGTGAAGCGCGATTACTCCTTTTTGGGGAGACAAATGAAAATTCTTCATTCATTACAATTTGGCCCAGGAGCACAGCTACGCAACCATGGACTCCAACTCAATTCCTGTTCTGTACGTCTGGTGGATATAAAGAAGGAAAAGCCGTTTTTTGACACAAGGGTTGAACAGCAATCCCAAGCAAGGACTAACTGTAACCAGGCATCTGACATAATAGGTAAGGCTGACTCAAAGAATGTGTAATGTGAATTACAGTACCAGGCAAAGGGCTGGAACATGTCATCAGGGTCCATTGAGGTAGTCCAAGTGTCCTTGGACAGAGGCAGGAAGGGGAGGGAACTGGCACCCTATAGAGTGAGTTCAGCAGAAGAGAGTCTCCAGGAATTGGAAAAATACCAAAAGACAGAAATGGTAGGTTTAAGTATTGATGTCTGAGAGACTATTTCTAAAGCAAGAGAGGACAGTATGGGGATAGGAGATAAAGAAAGGGGAAAAAATTGGAGACCCAAAATATTCATGAGAGGAGATGGAGAAAGAAACACATGAAGACACAGTGAGGTATAAAGAGATACCATCGCCAGAAAGAGAGACAGACATAGGTAGGGGAAATGAGCCGGGCCAAGAGGACAATGAAGAAGTAAAATGAGAAAGAAAGAAAGAGGTAGACTGAGGGTAGGGGTAGGAGGTAGACTGAGGGTGGGGGTAGGAGGTAGACTGAGGGTGGGGGTAGGAGGTAGCATGATGGTGGGGGTAAGAAGAATCTCAAGATGGGCAAAGCTGCCCTCTATGCATGAATTTTATCACCTTTTGTGTAGGACCTGGAGCAACCTGCAGGTCACACACATTCAAGCACAGACCAAGGTGCCTTGAATTAACTTAGTTTCTAGGTCTTTGTAGTGCTCCCATTATGGAGTTTCCTGCTGTGTGGGCTCCTTGGCCCAATCCTGAGACCCTAAGAGGTTTTTATCCTCTGTGCAGTGATCAGCAGTGAGGACTCCGCAGAATCCAGTGATGAAGACGAGCCCTCAGAAGCCTCCCCCTCGATACTGAAAAGTTGGCCTGGTAAGGAAGAGGGAGAGCAAGGCTTGGGCTGCAGAAATCTGAATTAAAAGCTACTGTTTCCTGAGGCATCTTATTCTAAGCCCCTTTTGTATGACGGATCCAGTTTATCCTGTAATCCCACTCTCTGCATTTATTTTACTTGACATTTTTGGGATCTGCAAAGAGATAAGAAATCATTATGTATATATTTTTTGAAGAGGAGGCCCATTAATGATGGGTTCTATTAATCAATATATGCATCCATTTGTTGATAATATAGTAGAAATAGGCTAGGCAAGTAATGAGCTTGTTTTTAAAACTAGTTTCTATGCTTATAAAGTGTTAGATTTGTACAGTGATTTCTATAGGGAACAGAAACCTAAATATTCCTTTTTTGGAAGGTCATTTTGTCATGTGACCACAAACTTTGAATAGTGTCAAAAGACAACTCATCCAGCTATCTAGTGTTAGCAGAAAAAAGACTTCAGATAAAATATTCTGAAACACAAAGTATTGTTTTTTGACAGAGTTCTTCAGGAAGTCATGGCATAATAGTGATTTTTCAAAGGACCTTTGCAAATAATGTCTTACTTTTTCCTCTACAGCAACCTTAAGGGGTAAGCACAATCACAAAAATGTTTCAAGGTCTTCTACAGAGTCTCTTGGACAATTAAAGGGAAAGACAAGACTAGCGTCCTGTATTCTGCATTATTTGCTTTGTAAAGTTGGAGCCGGAAATGATTATCAACATGTTGTGTTTCCTCAATCCTATCTGTACCATGAGTTGTCATGAGATTTGTAGCTCTTTAGTGTACAAATTGGTGGTTTGTTTTCCCTTTCTACTTTCTAGACCCAGAGGATATTAGAAACATGCCTATTTGGAGAAAGATACTAGGAAAAGACCTAAGAACAAATAAAAATGTTACCTGATCTTGAAGTTACAAAAGAACAATATTTTTAAATAATATGTTCACTCTAATTGCTCAGTAGATCTATCAAAGTAAAAATTAAATTCGCTTCAGTTTTTAGCGAGTGCACGTTCTAACTTTTATCTTAGTGTAGGCTAACTGCTCTAAAAGGTAGTCCCAAAATATGTCAGTGGTTCAGACACAAGAGGATATTATTTCTCAGCCTTGCAAACAGTTCAAGGAGGCACTAGGTTGGGAGCGGGTAAAGGAGTCTCTGCCATCATCAACACAAGATTTTTAAGGTCTTCCTGCATGAGAAATAGCAGAGATGAAGGAAGTGTGATATGACAAGTAGAAGGAGTAAGAAGTAGACGAGAGAGAAGTGTAGGAAGGTAAGGTTTAGACACAGTAATGTTGCCCCTTGCCGTGGGGACAGGGAATGGAGCATCACGAACCTACAAGGCAGGTGACTTAGAAGGGTTGACCAGAGTGGCCTGAGTGCAGGTCACGATTTGCATTGGTTTTCAGGATTTTTCCAAGTTTCCTGTTAGGGAATTTCCTGCTGCATCAGTTCCTTGGTCACACAGTGAGACCCCTGAGGATTCCTATTCTTTTGTGCAGCAATCAATAACCGGGACTCATTAGAATCAAGTGAAGGAGCAGAGACCCAAGAAGCTACCTGCTCACGACCTCAGATTATACCAGGTAAGAATATTAGATTTGCAACCTTGGATGACAAATATCCAGAATCTAAATCCAGGGCTATATTTTCCTAATGAATCTTATTCTGAGCATTCTCCATATGGCTTGATTCCCTTATTTCTAGGATACCAATTTCTGCATTTAACTTCTCTGACTATATTGGGAAATAGAAAGAGGCAGAAGGTGTTATAAACTGTTGTTTAACTGCATGGTTCCAATTGATTGAGGGATAGAAAATGTAGCAAAAATATGCTGGCAAAATGACAATATATTTTACTACACACTATCATATCTATTAATGCCAAAGAGTTGAAATAATGTGCTTATTCTCTATCAAGATGCTTTATATTCTATTGAGCATAGGAAGCATAGTATTCCTCTATTTGTTGACAATATTGTCATTAGTCCCAAACATAGAAAGTCTTGAAAGAACAATTTGTGCTGCTGTATAATTATTATTGGAAAAATGATTTGTGATCAACTACTTTCAAACCCAAATTAGTTAAACCATTGGCTTACCCTGTGATTTTTCACAGGGCTTTTGTAAATAAAGTTTTATTTTGTTTCCACAAAATCCTTAACAGGGAGCTAGGGTAACCACGTTATCCCAGCTTTATAGATGAGGAACTGGAGTTGGTGGTGTTTAAGAGTCATTCGCAAATTCACATGGAGAGTAAAAGGGAGAGCCAGGCAGGAACCCAGCATTATGACCCTGGGCCACCAGAGCTGGATTCGGTTGAAGGAAAGAGAGGGAAATGATCGTCAAAACGTTATTGTCATCACAAACCCGTCTGTCATGTCAGTTGTAGAAATTGTAAGACTTTTGCAAACAAATAACTGTTTCCTCGGTCTTTATAGAGCCCATGGATTTCAGAAAATCACCGACATGCAGAAAAAGCCTTTGGAAAAGAGGTAAGAACAAATAAGAACTCTTCATGGTTATAAATGAACATTGTTTTCTACAAAAGATTCATCCTAACTCTTTGGTATATCCTTCAAAGTAAAATATAAATTTGTTTTAATTTAAGATCATTTGTATTTTAACTTTTGTATCAGTTAGGCTAATGACTGTAACAAGTACACCCAAAGAAGACAAGGGCTCAAACACAATAGAATTTAAAATTTTTTTCTCAAGTAAACATTCCAAGGAGTATTAGATGGGGGAGGAGTGGAGCTCTGTTTCCAGTAGAGTTCAGAGAAGCCGCCAAGGGGGAGATCTGCCTTCTTCAATACCAGACTTCTAAGGCTGTCCTAGAAACATTCTTACCTTGAGTTTTCAGAGTTACCAGGGGTTTTCCTATCTTTGTTCCTTTGTCACACACTGAGACCTTCAAGGGACATTTGCTCCTTCTGCAGTGGTAAGACCTGGAGACTCTTCAGAGTCCAGTGCAGACGAGGCATCCCCGGGAGCCTGGAGCTCTGCATTGGGAAGTGGACCTGATGAGGAGGGTAAGGACTGCCATCACTGTGCTCCAGGACATCAAGATTCCGAGTTCAGAGCTCTTGTTTCCTGGCATATTTTACTCTGAGCACACTCTACAGCCCAGGAGCCCATTCTCTGCCTTTATCTCATGTGGCCATTTTGAAAAATGCAAAGAAAGAAATCATTATAAATTCAGGCTTAACAAGGTGGCTGTAGTTGAACAGCAGTGCTGTTTTTACTAGATGGTGTCAGACATATTATCCCCCAAAGCATTGGATTATATAGTTATTTCCACCCCTGCCCTATTTTGTAGAGAGCAGAGAAAGTGGGGTAGTCTGCTGTTGCTTGATTTTGTCACAAACTTGTTCAAAACTCAAAAGACTCTGGTCATACTCTCTAATTATTGACAGAAGGAAAAGCTTCTGGTTATTACCATCAAATTCACTTTGTAGCTCTTCACAAATGGTCCCCAACAGGACAATGCCCTATATAATGATATTTGAAAATATCTTCACAAATAAGATATCCTTTTATGTTGACAACAACCTAAAAGGTAGGCCAGATAACTGTTGTTCTCCCCCATTCCACAGATAGTGAAACTCCCATACATAAACATTTAAGGATCTTTTACACATCACATACGGAAAGTTGCTGGAAGAAGCAGAACTAACATGTTTGTTAGTTTTGCTGGACTCCTAGCAAACATCCATAACCTTTATTCAAAACTTTTGAAGCCAGATATAAAATAATAATGTTTTATTATTTTAAAAGATAATGTGCTATATAGACTATATATTACAAAACACTCCCAAGAGGGTCTAAGGCAGAATCCCATTCTCAAATATACTGTATTAATCTTCCTGCAGTAAATTATGTGAATTCACATCGAGTGTGATAAAGATTTTACATAGACCCATGACAGCTCAGATCCAGATTCACTGCCAGATTAGTTAGCTGCAAACCTATGGAAAAACGTTGGTTTTCAAAACTCCTTTGATTTTGCAATTGGGGTTAAAGGAATGTGGGTCTTTGCTCCATTTGGTAGCAGTCTATTTCCCTTAGATGGGAAGAGCCAGAAATGACCATCATTCCATCTTTCTAGTCCAAATCCTGTCTACAATGTGAATAGCTATAAGATTTACAATTCTTTCAGTTATATATTACTGGTTGTGTTTTCCTTTTCTTTATAGATCCTGCGGATATTGGAAACAAATCTTTTTGGGGGTTAAGTAATAGGAAAAGAAGTAAGAGCCATTAAAACTCTTGATGTAACAAATGTCTTTCTTTGCTACAAAGCTTCATTCAAATTTTATGTTATACCCTTTAAAATTAAAATATTTAGTTTGTTGGAATTACCCATTTTGTATTATGTGGGATGGGCTAATTGATATAACACATAGATCTCAAAAAGTTCAATGACACAAGTGCAATACAAGTTTATTCTTCATTCACATAAATAGGGTAAAGTATTTTCCGGGGTGGAGGGGTGCTCGTCTCCACACAGTTATTCAGGGCCCAGCTGATAGAGGCCCTGACATCTTGGAAATGTTGTTTCCACAGCCTGTCTGGATGAGATCCAGAGCTGGAAGAAGAAGAAGTATGTGCATACAAGTGGAAAGGGTAAGAAGGGTAAGAAGTGATGACAAAAGGGAGTGCTTCCATGGCAAGATTGTTCCCAGTCCTTGGGGATGGTTCCTGGAGCAACTGTGATAAATAGGTCAGATGGAACCACAAGGTGGCCTGGTGGTAGGAATATTCCTACTGGTCCTACATGAGCTTCTCTTTCCAATTTTCCTTTTAAAGAATTCCATGCTGAATTGGTTCCTAGGACACAGACTGAGACGGTTAAGGAATTTTACTTCTTTCTGCAGGGACCACCAGTGATGACTTTTCAGAATTGAGTAACAGAGAAGAGCCTCAGGAAACTTCTAGCTCAGCCCTAAGAAGTGGGTCAGGTAAAGAAGATTAGGATGCCAAGCGTTGGCCTGCAGAATGTCAGGAATCTGAATTAAAAGCTACTGTTTCCAGATGCATTTTATTCTAAGCACCTTGATGAACTTGTATCCAGTTAATCTTGAGAACTCTTTTTCAGCATTTTAGAAAATGGAAGGAGGCAGGACATTATTATGAACTCATGAATCACAAAATGAATCCTATTGACTAAATGTTTGTAATTATATATCACTGCTGTAGAAAAAATGAATAGCAAAATGATGGTATATTTTTTAATGCTTGCTGTCATGCCTACTAACACTAAGATCTTAGATTTCTATAGTGATATATTGGTTGGCATTCATGTCATTTGTAATTGTAAAAACCTCAAAAGACAATTGGTCCTTCTATGTAACTATAGACGGAAATAAAAGCTTCAGATCAACCACTCTCAAACTTTAGTATAGTTTTTGACAGATGTCCATCCCACTGTAATTTGATTATATCATGTTATTTTAAAGTACTTTGGCAAATAGGATCTTACTTTGTCATTATAAAATACTTAATACTTAGGCTAACTCTTGCCATCCCCATTTTAGGATGAGAAAATAGATGTACAAATGTATGAGGTCAAAGAGGGTAACTGTTGTGTGTAACAGGCAGGAAGATAAGAGCTGTGTCACATGATCAAAGTTCAATGAAGAGGTACAAGGGACTTGGCATATTCACAGTGGGATGTATCAGTGCCTGATGCAAGAAAACTTATTTAACAACAACAATAAATAAATATATACATGTATATATATATGTATATGTATATACATATATACACATACACACTTATATATGTATATAATATATTGGTGGATATATAAGCTTCAATATTGGTGTGGATGTTGGAAATATAGATGATAGATAGATAAAAATGAAAGTCCTAAAGAAACAAAGAGGGTAGGCATGGAGCCAGCTATGTGGTATATGAAATACCTAGAAAGATAGAGCCAAAAAGGATGAACAGAGAAATAAAAAGGAACAGAGATTAAGAGATTCAATGATGAAAAGAGAAAGCAACACAAGGGACACAAGAAATCAAGGAGAGAGAAGCTCCCAGCGATGGAGAATCAAGCAATGGAGCTAGAAATGTGTAGGGAAGGGCAATGGGCAGAAAATTAATAGACAGGGAACAGAATGAGTTGTAGCTAAATGGAAAAGGACAGAGCAAATCTCTGTTGGATATAAGATGTAGTCATTGGAGTAGGTGTTTTCTCAGCTCATCTGAGCAGTGAACGTAGACGAGCATTACCCCATTGAAGTGTGTTCCTGGGTCACAGTCTATAATCTGTCATTTCCACATTGTCCGTTAGTGTTCTGTGGATTCGAAGCTCTTCCAGTGAGTAGAGGAAGAGAATCGGAAGAGATGCCAGCCTATTAGCATGTGATGGAAAAGCCAATTATGATATTATCGATTATCTTTGTTTTCGTGTCTGCACAGAGGAAAAGCTCTTCCTTCTGTACCTTACCTCTCCCCTTAAACATTGCATGTACACGCACACACACTCATACACAGACAGAGACTTGTGCACAGACTCAGTCTGCTTTCAACAGGTTTGAGGGAGCCAAAAGAGAAAGAATAGCTGGGCTCCTGAATGGAGGGAGGTGACACTGAGTGGATAATGTAAGGAGAAAGAGTGGAGACGGTAGGCTGGGGTCTCCAAACGAAAACCTCTCTGAGTAAGTTTCAAGTTTTTCCAAGTGGACATGGAATCCAAATATCACCAGATTGGGGAGTTTAGTGGGGGAAGAGAGATGATTTTCAAGATAGCTCTCAGAAGTTGTACCAGAAACATGGTAATAAAGCCCATGACTGACTGATAGACCTGCAATGTAGAAAGCTCATGGGGAACTGGAAAATGTAATAGTGGTCAATAATGTGGTCAGTGTCAAAAGAGCAGGAATTTGGTGGTGCTGTAAGTAGTAATCTGTGAGATGAAGCTGAATATAGATCAAGAAAATATAGATAAAGACAAAGATTGTAATTGTAAAAAAGAAAAAAGGCAAAAGGTCAAGATAAGATTGAGAGAAACAGACTAGAAGGAAAGAAAAAACAGAAAGGGAAGTGACAGTAGAAAAAGGATTACTTCAATACTAAAACTAGATCCAGGAAGAGAAGCATAGGAAATAAATGGAGGGAGATACATACATGGGGTAATAAATGGAAAGGAGTAAAGAGGCACAAAGAGAACTATGTAGAGAAAGTTAAAAGATGGGAGAAAAATGGTAGAGAGAGGGGACAGTGTCAAAGGGGGAGAAGAGAGACACGGAGAAATTGTGGGATCTGAAATGAACGTAAGACGAAAGCAGCACTGGCACAATAAGTGGCTCACAATAGCAGTGAGTTTTCGGGGTAAGGTGTCCCCAGAAATCAAAGTGCCCCCTATAACTCACCTAGATTGCAAGAGACCTCACCCCAGGCATTTCATCCACTCTTATGCCTTCAATCACCATCCCAACCTAACGGTTCCTAAACATACATGTCCAGCCCAACCCTGTCTTCTAAGTGTCTAAACTCATCCATCCAAGTATTAGGAAGACCTGTCTCCGAGGTTCTGAAGATTCTGGCCTTCTCTATTTATGTAGCTCTCTCTCAAGACCTTCAAACTCAACACTTCCAAAACCGAGCACCTCATCTTTTCCCTTAAAACCAGCATCTGCTCCTCCAGTGCACTCTATCTCTAAAACACATGATCAGTTTACCCATTCTTTCAAGTTGAAATCCTCTGAGTCATCCATGACACTGCCATCTTCTCAATAGATATACCCCATCTGTCACTAACTCCATCAATTCTTCTCTTTAAATGTCTTCAATCCATTTATCTCCATTTCCATCCATATCTATATAACTTCTCATTTGAACTAGAGCTTTGGGTTCCTGTTTGTTCTTCTAACTTGTTCCCACCAAATGTATTCTGAGTGATTTAGTTAAATTGATCTTTCAAAAATACAAATATGTTCCTACTGCTTCCTACATAAAATCCAATATCCTTTAGGATTAAGTCAATTCTCCTTTGTGAGGTCTCCAAAGACACCTACCGAGGGACTCCTGCCTCTTTCTCCATCCTCATCATTGCCCCTCATTCTCTCACTCCATGTTCAGACATACTAAATTCCTTTTGATTACTTGCATTTGCTGAATCTAGACCTTTGCACATGCTTCTCCATCCATTTAGGACTCACTTCTTGGCCCCCTTCCTCCCTAATTTGGCTAACTCCTGCTTCCATGACACATCCTCTGGAAGAGGTTTCTCATCTCAAACTAGGCCAATTCTTCTTGCTTTATGCCCCACCAGAGTATCCTGTATGATTGGTATCCTAACACTCTTCTTATTTCAATATAGTCACTCATTTATGTGTCAATTCCCTGGTTGCTCATAAGATTGACGAGCACCGACTTTTCAGTAGTCTTGTGCCCTGCATTACTGTCAGCACTTGACACATAAAAGAAGCAAACTTGTTGAGTGAGTGAAAAAAGTTGTTCACTCTCTGTATTCCAACATTAAGAAATTTGTCTGGAAAAGTTAGTTTATTATAGTATTTATACAGAATATTTACAAAAATTATTTTAATAATTGGATTCTATATACACATATTGTATATACATATAAATGTAATAAATAATATTTCTAGAAAAGAGTAACATCACATAAAAGTATATACTAAAGTATGTAAAAGTCATCAATGAATGGATGAGAGAAGCATATAAAGAAAAAATAGAAAAACAAAAATACAGATTTGGGCAAAGAGAAAAGGATAAAAGAGAAAAAAATAGATTGAAAGGAAGGGACAGAGACAATGAAGAGCAAAAAAAGAGAAAGCGATTTCAGAGGTAGAGCCATCCTTTGATGTAGGAGTGGAGGAAAGGAGGATCATTGGATCCATTGGATCCATTGAAGGGAGAAGGCGCAAATGAAAATTCCTTACAAATCACAACTTAAGAGTAGTGCTACAAGAACTTGGAAATGAGAAGTGTTCCTGTGTCATGTGTTTTTCAAAAGGTGTGCCAAGAGGCCAAGAAGCAAGGACTGAAAATAGCCAAGCATCTGACATCATGGGTAAGGCCGCCCACGGATCTTAGGGTGGAGGTGGTTCAGCAGATACAACAGACCCTGGGTATGTCTGTGGTAGGTGATCAGGGTTCAAGAAGAACATCAGGAAGCTCGTCAACAGGGAGTAGGCCAGTTACGAAGGTGAGAGCCACAGGGCTCGGGCTGCAGGATGTCAGGAGTCTGAAATCAGAGTTCCTGTTTCCTGCTGCGCTTGACTCCGAGCACACTTTGACAAGGAATGGATGCGTCCAGTCCATGCCAGAATCCCACTTTCTGCATTTGTTTGATTTGATATTTTTGGCAACTGCAGGCAGACAAGAAATCATTATAAAGTCATGTTTAACAGAATGGGCCCTGTTGATTATACATGGATGTTGTAGTAGAAATACACTGGTAAAAACAGCAGTATCTCATTTACTGTATTGGCATATCAGTGCCAAAGTGTTGGATTTGTATGGTGCCTTCCACTTTGTCCATGTAACAAGAAATCCAAGTGTTCTTCTGCTGGTAGATAATAGTGTCACTTTGTCACTACCTTGGAAAGGCTTCAAAAGACAAATGGTCCTTAGGAAAAAAGATCTCTGATAACTATTCTTAAATTCAATGTGTAGTTTTGAAGGATGTCCTCCAGCATGTTATTGATTTATATAGTGGTTTCTTGTTAACTCTTGCAAATAAAATCTTACTTAATCTTCATAAAAAATCTAAAACCTGAACAGGGTAACTGTTGTTATCCTTGTTTCATAAATGAGGAAACTGATGTACATAAGTAAAAAAGAGCTTTTTCAAAGTCTCGGAGAAATAAAGCAAGACCTTAGATATCACTGTAGTACCTGTCTGGTTCCTTTAGAAACAAGACAGGGAAACGATACACAGAACATCATTATAAATTCAAGCCTTCCGCAATGTGAATTGTCGTAAGATTTGTAACCTTTATTTATAAATTGCAGTTCTCTGACCACCACCTGTTACTTTCTAGATACCATGGATATTGGAAACAATTCTACTTTGGGGAAACACAGTGAGGAAAGAAGTAAGAGTGAATAAGAATTTACTTGATTTTTATGTTACAATTGAGCTATCTTTTAATGCTGTAGTTTACTATTATTTTCTATACCTTTCATACGACAAAAAAATGAATGCCTTTTAAAGTAACTATTTTTTTCAAAATGTTCATATCATCCTGTTGCTTTTTATTCTGATTTTAAAACATATGTTTCTTATCAACACTGGTGTATATCTTTCCAGAATTTTTCTGTGCATGTATTTATACATTTTGGAATATGTTTTTATTTATCTAAATAGGGTAATATATAGAATTACCCTATTTATATCTATATTCTACATATATTTCAAAAAGTATATATACTTTTCCTTTTCTTGCTTTCTAAAATTAGTACATCATCCTAGAGAATGAAGACATTTAATGTTTTTAATTGAACTACAAAAAGTATTTAAGGGCTGCTTTCACATGGCACTGTTTTCATTTTTAGTGTGATTGAGCGTTTTTAATTTGTGATCTGTTTTTCTTCTTCATAGAATCCTCTGTCATAGAATGCTATGTCAATGTTTTCTGTTGTGGTAATCGTCTTTTTCTTACTGTGCTGAATGAATATAGAAATCCTTATATGATACATATATTAAATCTTGGTCATACATGTTGCTAATATGTTGCCCCATTCGTTGTTTTTCCTTTAGGTTTATTGATAGAATCTTTTGTCCTAGAGAAGTTATAAGTTTTCAGGTAGTCAAATTTGTCAGCTTTTTTCTCTCTGGTTCTTGGGTTTCCTATCATATCTACAGCAGCCGTTTCTAACTGAAGATTTTAAAAAATATTTTTCTGTGTTTGATTCTAGGCCATTTGAAGTACCTGATCATTTTTAATGTTTACATCTATAATCCCGTGGGTTTTACCTCTTTGTGTGTATGTTAGGTGGAAGTTTAAAAAATATTCCCTACACTATTACATTGCGATTTGAATCACCACTTTGATCACAGGGTGTCTTTACCTGTCTGTATACTAGTTTTTCTTTTGCAATCGAAGGAGCTACAGAATAGAAAGTGGAGCTCAGAGGTAGCACCGTCCTGATGATTCACTGGGGGTGGATTTTAGAATCTGCTCAAGAAGATTCCCCCACCTCCTTCCCAAGTTCATTGGAACCTCTGATTAGAAATGCATTGAGTTTGCAGATTAATTTGAGGAGAACAGAAACTTTGACCCATTTATTCACACCTCATTGAATGTTCTTCCACTAAGAATTTTCTTACACTCTTTTTAAGAAGTTTTATATGTTATGCAAATTTGTTTGTTACTATGAATATCTTTTTCCCCCCATTATATAATAGCTGGAGTGAATTTAAACGAGATAAGACTCTCAAAATCTTTATTTAAATAGGAAATCGGTGGTCATTTTATTACCTCCTTGCATGTGAGGAAATTAGAATGCCAAGGATCTATTTCTGATTTTACATAAAAGTCTTACAAGCATTTGTACTGTTTAGAGCCCCAGATATCACTTAAAATATTATGGCCAGGCCCAAAAATTATCAAGACAATCGATCAGAATTAAAGTTTCTTTGGCAGTTGGTTTCAGAAGAAGTGGAAATAATTTCTAATTTGGGGGCGTATTACAAGACCCCTTCAAATAACTCTTCCAAGGACAAATTTATATTAACAGAGAAGAGAACAAATTGGTAATGGTTATGAATAGACATGTCTCCATATTTTACAAGAGAATAAGGCTTCTCTTCTTATGAAATTTCTCAGTTTAACACTTTGTCAATTCAGATTTTTTACATTAGTTTTATGGCATAGAATGGTCTCTCTCCTTCCACAGCTGTGAGATGAGGGGATTTTCCTTCCATCTCTTTCTGTAATTCTTTGTTAGCTACGAAGATTTACATTTTTAAAATGTGGTCTTTGGAATTTCTCTATTTAGCCTTATAAGAAACACAGACCCGTAGTGTTCAGTTTTGTTGGTAGAACCAGAGAAGGGCCTGAAAAGGATTCTACCTAAAAGCAGTAAAATAGGATGTGTATAGATTTTTCCCTACAGCCTCCCATCTTGTTACTTAAATCTGAATCAGCTTGCAACCCCCTATCTTTCTATTTTCAGATTTCCTTTCTTGTCTTCACCTAAATACATCATGTGAATGATTTGCTCAGTATTTAGGTAAAGATGCTTATGATATTATTTTAAAGACTACATCTTACATAATATTTTATAAACATTACTATTTATAGGCTATTTATAGGCTAATTATTATTCACAGAATCATCGAAATACTTTCTACATTTTTTCCTTTCATCTCCAAATACTGATGACCGTTCTTTATACACTTTCCATTTACCAGATCTCATCCTTATGGATCTCATCACACTTCCCTTTGCACTGCTGCACTTACCCATTTCACACCCCAGCCCTTCCACAACTTCTTCCTTGTAAATCAGACCACATCTATACTAACGACTACTCGAACTCAGTCTTCCTTCAAGGTGCTCGCTTCAGGTGAAGATATATAAACAGACTTCAAAACCGCCCTTCATTACTGGAGCAGCATGGGGCATTTGGCAGAATGGGAGGAAGAGCCAGATTTGGGGGGAATAGGAGTGTGGATGGCTTCAGTAGAGAGGCTAAGATTTTGAAAGACTTTGGCCAAGCTTGTGCTCATGCTAAAGACTGGGTAGAATCTTGTTGGCTGGAGATGAAGTCCCCATAGCTCAGCCTATAAGACATGGAAGGACAATTCACAGTGACCCCTACTTCCACAGACTAAGGCAGTGAACTCAGAACTTCCTTTATTTTTTTAAGCTCTAAGTTTCACCCAGAGGCAGAGTCAAGGGTCTCATTTGCAACATAGCCCAGTGTACAGTCGCAACACTGGTTCCCAGTGGCACATGTGCTTGTTGACACAGCCCCACAATGTAGCAACCTTGGGAGCTAAATGCAAGGTGGGAACCTCCATATTTTCCCACCATGATAAACCAGAGAAGGACTAATTCTGCAAGGTTAGACCAGTGTCCTACCCCAAATACTTACAGTGTTTTCCTCCTCCAGCTGCCCTTGCCCCAGGGCAGAGGTACTAGCCCCACAGGAATTCCTTCCTGCTGCTGAGGGGCAGGTGAGAAGAGACTCTGCAATAGAAATAGTAAAGCCTTTGCGTATTGATGCATCCGAGAATGTGTTGGATGGGTAATTTAAATGAATAAATTAATTTTATCAGTTTGTGAAAATTTTAATCCAAATATATGACTGTAAAAAATATATACCTAAAGCAAAAAAAAAGAACATTAAAATAAAGAGAGGGATAAAGAAATGTCAGGAAACCACAAATTAGAAGATTGGTGCTTTTTCGTTGTTGGTTGTTTGTCATAGAGGGTAACTTAGTAATCAACGTTATTGGCTAATGGGGGTTCTCTGTAGATCTCATTACGGGGGTGAGGCTGCCTCTAGGCCGCATGCTCTCAGGAGGACTGTACAGATTGACCATAGATGAGTGGCCTTGCTAGCCTCACAGGTGAAGCAGAGGTAGGCAACAGAAGTGGAGAGTAGGACCATAGATGAGTGGCCTTGCTAGCCTCACAGGTGAAGCAGAGGTAGGCAACAGAAGTGGAGAGTAGTGGTGGAAGGGGAGGCAGACTTCTTCCCAGGAGCCTGGGGCCTTAGACCCAAAGGGATCTGTCCATCACAAGCTGATTTCTCCAGTCAAGAGAATCAAGCTGGTGTGGCTTGTCTGAGGGTGGCCTGCAGTGATCACCACCTGATCATGGGCTTTCTGACTGGGAGGTTTTTGGCTGCCCCCTGCCTCCTAACACCTGGCAGGCCTTGGCATCACCGTGATCAGGTGAGTAAGCTGGGAGAACCTGGTCCCCTTCAGGCCATGTGGAGAGATGCACTCTCTTCTCTTGTCTTCTAGGACACTTCATTCTCCTACTTGCTAATAGCTCCTTCCTGGTCATTTGTTGGTGGTGTTGTTGGTAGTATTGATAGTGGTTAGAGGTGGTAGACCCTTCTTGGCTTCCTGATATCTCCAGGTTGCTAAGTACACCAGGGTTTAGACCTGAGTGCTTTCCTCATCTCCAACTATACTCCCTCCCTAGGTATTTCACCAGTCTGGTAGCTGTAAATTCCATCAATATGTTAATGACTACCAATTATATTTCTCCTCCTCTGATCCCTCTCTCAAACTGCCAAATCATAAATTCAACTTCTTACTCCAAAATTCCACTTGTATTCTATTGGTGTCTCAAATTTGACATGCCAAACAGATTTCTTTATTTCACTTCCAAACCGTTCTCCATCACCAGTCATCCTCATCTCAGTAAATGGCACTGTATCTAGTCAGTTGCTTGAGCCAAAAATGTAGGAGACATGCTTGATTCCTCCCTATTCCTAACCTTCCCACATTCATTCATCATCAGGTTTCAAAACTATGTATTAAATGTGTCCATTCTTTGTCTCCCCTGCCACTACCCAGTTCAAGCCCCATTATCTTGCATTTGGATTACGACAGAGTCCTCCTAACTGGTCTCTCTGCTTCCATTCTTGCCCACTTATAATTCATTCTCCATTCAATAGTCTGCCACCCAATTGCTTACACCTTTTGAATGATTCCCAGTTGAACCTAGACAAAAGCCTAAACTCCTTACCATGCCTACAAAGCATTACATAGGCTACCCCTTGATCACCTCTTAAATCTCATCTCCTAGCATTCTTTCTTTCACAGACTACTCTGGCCTCTTTGAACAAACTGAGCAAGTTTCTGCCTCAGGAAATTTGCAGATGATGTTGATACTACATAAAATACTTTTACCCTCCACTCTTCCTCAGAGAGGCCTTCCTTAATCTCCATTTCTTACATATCCCCTCTAGCCTCTTTTACATCACTCTCTGACCTGTCTTTTCACCTGATTTATCATGTTTTTTATGTACAGAAGATTTTATCTTTTTTTTTTAGGAAGATTGGCCCTGAGCTAACATCTGTTGCCAATCTTCTTCTTTTTTTTTTTTCTTTTTTCTCCCCAAAGCCCCAGTACATAGTTGTATATCCTAACTGTAGGTCCTTCTAGTTCTTCTATGTGGGAGACCGCCTCAGCATGGCTTGATGAGTGGATCAGAACTGGTGAACCCCGCGCCGCCGAAGCAGAACGTGCAAACTTAACTGCTGTACCACCGGGCCGGCCCTAGAAGATTTTATCTTTGTGTAATCTAATTAGTCTATATTATCCTTTATGATTATGCTTCTCTATCTTATTTAAGAAATTTTGACCCAACTTGAGGCTACCTTTCAGGTTATCTTTTCATATCTTTTCTATTTTATGGGACATCTTGCCCAATGGAGAACAAGATCCAGTGAATCCTTTTCTAGGATGAATAGTTTGAGGATCATTTTTTATAGCTCCTCAAAGGATCCCCAGCAGGATCAGGAACCAGTTGACCACAGGGGCAACCGACTCAGTTGGCTTTCTCTCCTACTCTTTCCTTCTTCCCAGTTCCCCTTTGCTGAACCTTGAGATAGTTTCACAAATAAACTTACTGAACACAAACCCTCATCTCAACATCTGCTTCTGGGAATACCAGGCTAATACACTCTTAGCTCTTTTCTCCTTCAGATCTTTACTCCTTTTGGAATTGATTTTTTTTTTTTCAGTATGTTATCAGGTAGGGGTCTAATTTTTTTCCAACATGGGTAACCAATTGTCACAGCTTCGCCAATAATGTATAATGTCACATATGGCATGAGTCAAGTTGCCATATATATGGATTTGTTTCTGGGCTTTCTAGTCTGATCCATTGCTCTATCTATTCTACATCAATACATAGCATACCTTATTAAGTATTATAACTTTATAATATCTTGATATCTGGTAGAGCAAGTTTCTCTCAACTTTTTTTCTTTTTCAAAATTGTCTTGGCTATTACAGTCATTTTCTCTTTCATATAAATTTTTGTGTTTATGTGTGTGAGGAAGATTAGCCCCGAGCTAACATCTGTTGCCAATCCTCCTCTTTTTGCTGAGGAAGATTGGCCCTGGGCTAACATCTGTGCCCATCTTCCTCTACTTTATATGGGATGCCACCACAGCATGGCTTGATAAGCGGTGCGTCAGTGCGCACCCAGGATCCAAACCTGCGAACCCGGGCCGCCAAAGCGGAACACGCGCACTTAACTGCTTGCGCCACCGGGCAGGCCCCCATATAAATTTTGGTATCATCTTGTCAAGTTCCCTAGAAAACTCTGTTGAATTTGTATTGAAATTGCATAGAATGAATTTGGAAAGAAGTGACATCTCTAAAATATTGAGTCTTCCAATTCATGAACATGATATCTCACTACTTATTTATTCTCTTTTCTTTTTAGATTCTTCATTCATTTACCCAACAAATATTTATTGTCAAAGCTACTCAATAGGAATAAGGAAGTGAACAAAATCTTATTGAACTTACATTCTAAAGGGGGATATAGACAATACACAAATAAGTATATAAAATAAAGAGTAATGGAGATACAGAGTAACAGAAACATTCCATCTTACAGGTGGTGTCCAAGGAAAGCCTCATTGACAAATTGACATATAAGTAGATATCCGAATGAGATGATGAACTAAGAGCCATAGAGCTAAGACTGAGAAGACCTTAGTGCAAAGGCCAAGACAGAAAGTGCGTGGTCTTTTGGGGAATGGCATGGAGACCACTGGCTGCGAAAGTAGAGAGGATGGAGTGGGAAGTGATTGGTCAGGATCATGTAGATCTCGTAGGTCTTGGTAAAGACTTTAGATTCTTGTCTTAGTAAAAGGAGAAGACATTGGAAAGTTGTGAGCTGAGGAATGATATGACCTGAATTATGTTTTTAGAGGATTGCTCTGTAGTCCGCACAGAGAATAGACTTTAGGAGGGTAGAGGATGAGAGATCGGTAAGGAGGCTATTGTAGTGGTTGGAGAAAGGATGACGGGGGATTGCACTAGCTGGTGGCAGTGGATGGGTGGATTCTGAAAACACACACACACACATATATAACACTCCAACGTATATAAATACGTACATTTTATTTGTAAATATATAATTCTATATTACATATAAATATTTATATAATGTAGAAATATGTTTATGTAGATAAATATAATACATAAATATAAAGATGTTGCATATAAATATATAAAATATATTAAAATATAAATTACACATAAATAAGTATATTGTATAAAATATTTATATTTAATACATAAATATATATTTATATATTATAAATGTAATATATATAATAAATATAAATATATCTATATATAAAACTCCAACATGTTTCTGGCCATCTAGAAGGCACACACGTGTCTAGGGAAGTACACATACCCAAGGCTGTGCACACACTCAGGAAAGACCTAAGAAAGCCTGGAGCTCTCACCTCTGGCTAACCTTGAGGTTCTGTGCAAGCAGGAAGTGAGGGCTAAGGTAGAGTCATAAACGGCCTAGCTGTGTGTCGAAGGCAAGCATCAACACAGGCATAGAGCCCTTTGGCAAAGACTGGGAGACTTATCAGTTCTAGATACTTAAGGAAATCTCTTTCCAGTTGTTAGCTGACCACTAAACTAACTGAGCAGAGACTATAGTGGCCATGTGGCAAAAAATACAGACTTTACAGAATTAGTTCAGAAAAAAGCAATAAATAAACAATAAAAACCAACAGTAACAATAAATAGCAATAACAACAAACTTTGGGGAGAGAGGAGTATCTGATTTCCAAAGTTACTACATTGTATTACTTAAAATGTCAGGTTTTTTAAAAAAATTATTTGATGTTCAAAGAAACAACAAAGTATGGCCTGTATTCAGGAAAAATAGAAACTACTCCTAAGGAAGACCAGACACTGAAATTACTAGACAAAGATTTTATTGATTGATTGATTGAAGTATAATTGACATATAATGTCCTATTAGTTTTGAGTGTACATCATAGTGATTCAATATTTAAATATATTACAAAATGATCACCACAATAAGTCTAGTTACCATGTGTCACCATACAAAGTTATTACAATATTATTGACTATATCCCCTATGCAGTACATTATATCCCCATGACTGACTGACTTAATAGCTAGAAGTTTATACTTCTTAATCCTCTTCACCTATTTTGCCCACCCCCCAACCCCTCCCCACCTCTGGTAACCAATTTATTTCCTGTATCTATGAATCTGTGTCTGTTTAGTCTTTGTTTGTTTGTTGTTTGTTTGTTTTGTTTTTTAGATTTCACATTTAAGTGAAAACATATGGTATTTAACTTTGATTTATTTCACTTAGCATAATACCCTCCATACATGTGGTCACAAATGGCAAGATTTCATTCTTTTTTATGGCTGAGTAATATTCCATTGTGTGCATATGTGTGTGTGTGTATATATATATATATATATATACACACACCACATCTTCTTTATTCATTCATCTATTGATGGGCACTTAGGTTGCTTCCATATCTTGGCTATTGTAAATAATGCTGCAACGAATGTAGGGGTGCACATATCTCTTCAAATTAGTTCTTTTGTTTTCTTTGGATAAATACCCAGAAGTGGAATTACAGCTAACATCATACTCAATGGCAACAAGCTGAAAGCTTTTCTTCTAAGATCAGGAACAAGACAAGAATGCCCACTCTTGCCACTTTTATTCAACATAGTATTACAAGTTCTAGCCACAGCCATTAAGCAAGAAAAAGAAATAAAAGTCATTGAAATTGGAAAGGAAGAAGTAAAACTGTCCCTATGTGTAGGTGACATGATGCTATATATAGAAAACCCTAAAGACTCCATCAAAAAACTATTAAAACTAATAAATGAATTCAGTTGTAGG